GCGTGGCAGCTAGCGATTGGCTTGTTAGCCATATAAAATTCTGTGCGACTTCCACCCAAGTCGGAGAACCTTGAGCATGCTGCAAAGTGCCTTTAAAGATTCCTGACTTGCAGCTGAGCTGATCGATAGCCTGATCACCTATCGATTCTTCTCCCCGTCGCCGAGCACAATCCTTTGACGTACCCTTTCCCTGCCGGCCTGACTCGTATACGAATTAGCTGGCCTGAGTCTTGCCAGCTGGAGCAACTCGTGTAGTTGTTTAAGCGACCGGACCTCCTGCGTTGTAACTAGTAGCGGCGTAAGTAAAGCTTTTTACAACCAATACATTTTGTCTGCCTCTCCATTCACCAGCCCGCCCAACGACCGAGTAATTTCTAAATCACCTCAAGTCGGCTCCGGCCGTCTGACACATGGCCCTCCGCCTGAAATTATTGCCTGCCCCTGCAATAACCGATATTTAATAATAGCACAAAGCATTTTAAACTACTGAAATAAACATTTTGTTCGTTTGTTTTGCATTTAACACACACACGCACATTCCTCTTACCTGATCCAGCCCTTGAAGAAGACAGTCACCACCTTTATTCCCATGCATGTCGCCCCCTTGCCCACGGCTCCTACTCTCAGCCTCACTGCCCGTGCAGCCCGTGCTACTGTCCTGGGTGAGCAGGGTGGACCCTCGCATAGACAGCGGCACCAGGTGTGTTTGGAGCCCCACAGCATGCTGCTGCCTCACTGCCAGTGGGCCCTAAGCGGCCAAACTCCCACAGCCGCCAGACAGAAGCTGTTTTTACAAAAGCACCTGGTGCCTGGCACAGTGGAATGTCCCTCACAAAGCGCCTTACCCTGCACACAGCCCAAGATCTCTGGGGCAGCCCCAGCGCTCAGGCCCCTGCTGAGCATTTGGCATTGCCATGGCTGAAGCAGGAGCCAGTAACAGTCCTTTGTTGCTGACCACCGCACCCTTAGTCGGTTGCTATCAAACTTTAATTTGCACATGTAGCAGGGTCTCCCCTGTGGGTGAGAGCCCCATCAGCTACCTGGGCTCCCACCTGCAGGGGTGCACCATGACCAACCACAACTGAGGGAACTCTCAGCCCCAGTAGTTGCTGACTCTGTGTCCTGACAGCACAGAGACCCAGAGTCCCACAGCTGCAAACACTGGGTTTCAGCAGCTGCAGAGTATGGCTGTGATTTCCAAGCCATGGGGGTGCATGAAACCCCTAGGGCTGGAAGATGGCAACTGCTGTGGTCTCCCAGCCACGGGGGTGCATGAAACCCCAGCGGCTGGGAGAATGCAGCTGCCAAGGTCTTCCAGCCTCAGGGTGCGTGAAACCCCCAGGGCTTCCCCTGTACTGGCAATAAGGCGCAATGGGATCTAATGCTCAATCCCACAATCACAACTCCTGACCATGCATGTGTGGCTTGGCAGGAGGCACAATTGTGGATTGTGCATTAGATCCTATTGCACCTTTATTTGCACGTGTACGGGGTCCAATGGCATTACAAGCCATTGATCTGCAAGTGTAGCGGGTCCATCAGTACAAGCAGTGCAGCAGCAAGGAAGAACAGGAGAAAGCAAAAACCTCTTACAAGTCGGAGAAAGCTGGGGGCTTCAATTTATCAGACATACACCAAGCAGATGTTTATGCCAAAGTTTAAGACTCTGAGCAAGATAAAGATAGGACTCCTAGGACCTACCACTTTTCTAGTACCTTGGGGTAAAAGGTTGGCTTATCATCGGAGTGTTGCTTCTTAGCAACGTGGGTATCTCTTTCAGACTGAGCGGTCTGAGGCTATTATATTTAGTCCTCCAGGAGTCAAATAAAAATTGTCAAGGTTCATGCATAAACACACTGGTATGAGTGGGTGGAATGGCTATGTATGGCGATGTGGAAAGGGAGAGTTTGATGTGATTACATTAGAAAAAGAGAAGTTCATTAATACAGAGAGGTTCTGGAAGGATAATTGACAGAAGAAAAGAGAAACAGAAGATGCAGGGGTGGAGGTAAAGAACAATGTGGGAAAAGGAAAGATTAGAGTTAAAAGGAAGGAATAAACAATGGAAAGAAATTTAAAATTATGTTAAAAACACTATTATCTATATTGAAGAGGGTGGGGGAAAGGAAGTAATGATGAAATGGAATGAAGCCAAGAAAGGAAATGCATGAAGTCATAGTGTGTATGCAGTTTTTAATATATTTAATTAATTTCACTTGCTTTGTTAATTTGGTGACCAGGTTTTGTGTGGTATAATTTATCAGCATTGGGGGAAACTGAGGGACAAAGAAGAGAGTGACAGAAGATCAAAAATATCTTCAGCTTTTTCTGATATTTGACCAGCCCAAACAAGAAGTTTTGTTTGTGTTTTCTTTAATGAGTGTTTATCTATACAGAGTCACAGTGGTTTATTAATTCTTAATTTTAAGACATTGGTGTAATTTTAAACTGATTTAATTAACTGGTGCAAAAGAGCTGGTGGACACTTACTTGGTTTAAATAATTTATTTAGCTTCAAAACAGATTTAGGTTCATGCAAAAGAACTCTAACCAAAATCAGTACATCTACAAAGGGGTCTATACCTGTTTAACAAACCTGGGCATACCTGTGTGCAAAAATACTTAGTTATAAATGTTAAGCAATGAATTTCCACTTAAATAATAAGTAAAAAAGGTTTCACTTAAATACTAAGCATGGCCATTTTCTCCCTTTCAGTTGCAGCAGGCAACGGTTTTGATAGAAATGATAGCGCAGGTCACTCACTAATAGTTTTAGGCCTCAGCATAAGAAAAGTCAGGTACATTTTTCAGAACCTTTGGAAAGACTATAAAATTACATTAGACAAGGTGCACTCCAGGTGAGAGCATCGAGGCTAGAGACTCCAACTTGGGAATATTTTTCCTTTCTTTGCTGCATATTGAACAACTTGCATTCAAGAGAAATAAAAACTGGCTCTTCAGATTCACAAAGTCTTTATTACTTTTTTCTTAAATGAAAGAACAACAAATTCAGGCTCTTGCAGACTCCTTAAATAGGGCTAATGTCTGAGTATTGTACTGCAACATCTCTTAATGCTAACGCATGCAGTCATGAGAGACAGCTGAACAGTTCTGAACACCTGTGACCTGGAGAGATGAACTCAAGTGGGAGAAGTACAGAGAAGAGCAGCAGGGATGAGTAGAAGAACGGAGACCCTCTCCTGAAAGAAGAGAAGAGAAAGATTAACTTTTGGGGGGCAGAAAATGAAAACTGAAAAGATAAAGGATTTATCTCTGTAACTATATACGGGTAGATAAAACACAAAGAGGAAAGTACTGTTTAAGTTAAGCTAAGTGTGAAAGAGAACAAATGGGTATAAAACTGGCCATGAATAAGGAAATTAGAAGAACATTTCTAACCAGAAGAGCTAAAGTCTGGAACAGTTTCCAACAGCAGTACTGAGAAAGAAATCTAACTGGTTTTAAAATGGAGCTTGATAATTTTGGGAGAGAGATTACATGCCTGGTTTTCAGCAGTGGCAGGATACCAGACACAATGAGCCTGGAGAGAAAGACCTTCCCTCCTATGTTCCCAAAAGTTTCACCAATAATGTGCAAAGGGTGAAGCAAAGGATGAAAACCTGAGTCTCACTGAGAATATGGAACTTTTTTTTTCTGAAGCAGAAGCAAACTCAGACATAACAAATGGGGAAACCTTAGAATTTCTTCAGCTGCTGATTAAGAACAGTGCCATAAACTGTAAGATAGCTCACACTTCCTTTTTTAATAACTCTGAATGACTCTTTTATGGCATTAGTGTTTCCATAAAATCTGCATATAGCTCTGTGAAAAACTTCCCGTTATTTGAGATTTAACGGTTGTTCGTTTCCATTAAACATTCCTATATAAACAGGACTGCTTCCTTTCTTCATCATGCACCAATTTATTGCTTTAAGTAGGGATGGCCGTACAAGAATTCCATGTCTACACAAAGTTTGCCCTTTTTCCAAAGCCAAAGAACAAGAGGTGCTTTGGAGCAGGGACTTGAACTTAGCTCTCCCACACCCCCAGCAAGTGTCTAACTACCAATATAGCAAGTCTCTCCCTCTCTCACTTCCACCCCCTCTCCTCCTGTTGGAGCTGTTCCCTTCTTTATAAATAAAACATTCATTGGGTCAGAGATAGACTGACTCCAAATACAAATATTGCCTACTGCACATTTATGTGGGATACGGTGATGATCTGAGAGCCAAGTTTTCCGTTTCCTGCAGAAAAATGAGGATTTTCCCCTTTAAAGGAAAAAAACCTGGGAAGCCATGGGTTTCCTCTTGCAGGCTGACAGAGTTTCAGCCTGCAAAGAGGTGCTTAAGGCTGGGGGTGGGAGTGGGAGGAAGACTATCAGAGGCAGGGGTCCACATGCATGTGCCCAGCAGTGCAGCCAGGCAGCGTGATGGGGAACAACTCTCACAGCTGCCTGCAGGAGCCGCCTCTGTGGCCCAATGGGTGGGACATGGTACAGGAAGAAGTGACACGCTACCCTGCCCACCCAGCAGCAGTGGGAGGGCACAACCCTCCACTGCCTATATGGCACCTCACCTTGGCAGCCATAGCAGCACAGCTGGCATGGGGTTCCTGGCAGCAGTGCAGGGTTATGCACCTCTGCTGCCCTGGGCAGGCAGGGGGTGTCTCACCTTGGCGGCTATGGAGGCACAGTGCTCTCTCCAGTGTTGGGTCCTGCCTGCTGGGCTGTGGAGGCAGCTCCTGCCCAGTGCCGGTCTGGCCAGGCTGCAGCCCTGTGCCCTGCTTGGGCATAGAAATCTGGGAGGACACGTGCCCCCTCATGCCCTCCTGATGCATCGTCTATGACACTGCCTATGCTCACACACCCCCTGCCCCACATGCACACTCCCCTTTCCACACACTGCGGGGTTTGGGCGTGAGGGCAGCGGGTTAGCAGTGAGGAGGCACCAGCAGCAGGGCTGGGGGTGGTCTGTGGGATGGGAATGAGGGGACACCAGCAGGGTCAGGGGGCTGCAGGTCAGGAGTGAGGGGCACCAACAGGGCTGGAGGGGTGGGGGACAGTGGGTTGGGAGTGAGGGGCAATGGCATGGGCAGGGCAGAGCACTGGCATATCAGGGCTGATCAGTGCCACAAAGCAGTGGGGGAACAGCTACAGCTAGGCTCATGTCCTGGTGAGTGAAGCAGGCAGGGGGAGCTCTGATCTTCCATGATAAAAAAACCCAAAATCAAACACCAAAATATACATGTATTTATAATATATTGTATTATTATGACTGAGGCACCGGTAGGCTTCCAGACGGCTTTAAAACTAAATATATCAACAAAACATTGTGTTCAACTGACACCTATATATACATATAGTGGTATCTCATTCTAATAGTGGAAAAACACGCAATTTGGGAGGATTTTTTTATAGTAAGATAATTTTGGATTTTTAAACAGAGAAATCAGGATCCCCAGTGATGACTTCCTCTGAACCAAGCAAAACAGGAATTTGAACCTAGGCCTTTCACACCCCACCAGAGAACGCCCTAATCAGCTGCTGGTCCACTGGCTACTGAGTGTCTCCCCAGCTTCCACTCCAGAAATTCAATCCAGAAGTTGAGTAATCTTCCTGACAAGTTTCTTTTGTGCTCTAAAATTCCAAAAAAAATTTCATTTGGGGAAATGGGGGTGTCAGTGTTTTCCTCCAAGAAGATTTAAGTTTTTCCCTTGGAGGAAGGGAGGGGTCTTCAAGAATCTCAGCCCGGAAGTTAAGTTGATCAATAAGGCTGAATTATTTTCTTTTTATAGACTGTGACAGGGGGCCTCCTCGGGGCCGAACTCTGTGGCCCGCCTGCCTGTCACCGTGACAGGGGGCCTACTCAGGGCTGAGCTCTTCGTGGCCCGCCCACCTGTCCTTGGGCAACCGCCTGCCTATCTCGCCCGCCACGCCTTTGATGATAATTGGTTCGTATATCCCACAGGACCCCTCTATGATCCTCTCCTATCAGGCGGCCGCTCCGCCGTCATCCGGGCTACCTAGCCCCCCCCAAAGCTATTTTTCCCTCTCGGGTGTGGTCCCCCCGGGACCTTCGGCCACTTGCCCTGGCCCACCTCCAGGCCAGTCGGGACCCCGGGCCCCCGGCTCTTGGGCGTCCCTCGCGGTGGGCCCCTGGCCCTTTTGACTCCTGTAGTCCTGGCCCCAGCTTGGGCCAGTCGAGGGTACTCTCCCCTTTGGGCTGGGTCTCTAGCCGCTCACTCGCATCCTCGGTCTTCACCGTGCCACTACTCCCTTTCTCCTAGGGGCAACCGCAGCGCCACGCCCTGTACTCATTCACACTCTCAGGGTCCGCCCTCTCTGGGCCCCTCACAACACTGGCCCACTGGGCCCCCCAACAAACACAAGGGTAACCCACCCGGTGGTGGTGGGAGCTAGGGATTAAGGCGCCCCGACCCGCCTTTCACTGGGGTGATAACTGGCCTGCCATTTCCTGGGGGCTCCCGCGCCACTGAGAGCCCCACCAGGCCACCCACTCCCGGCAGGGTGCAGTTTCAGGTCATGCCCAGGAACAGGAGCCTCCTTGCCAACCCCTTACAGCTCCCCCTTCCCTCCAGGTCGTTCTCAGCAGCCCTGCGGCCAGGCGATGTTGCTGCCTGGCCTCCAGCAGCCAAACTGCCCTGCTTATATAGGCAGCCCTTGCCTCTAAAATGGCTGCCCTAATCAGGCACCTGGAGGCTGCCAGCTCCAGGCCCTTAAAGTGGCAGGCACACCCAGTGCACTGCCACATAGACTACAAAGGAGCTACACAGAGCAGCAAACTTCAGATTACTTAGGTGTTATTTCACTTTCTGAAGTCAGACACACATTTAAAAACGTGTAACGGTCAAGTGTCTTTAAACCTGTTGATATCCAGTTAAATGAACCTCAAAGAACAAAAGATTGCCTGAACTAATTGCTCCACAGTTCTCCCTAGAGAAATTAATTCCAATGAATCTGGAAAAATTCCATGCCCCGCAAGAGCATACAAAAACTAGAACTGACAAGAGCCAGCCCCAGCATGGACTGATTTAAATCAATTAATTTAAGGCACCAAGTGGAAAGCTTCAATTTACATAATAGGTTTAATCAAATTTTTTTTTAGTTAAAAGTATCTTTTTAAAGAAAGGTGAATTCTCATTGGTCGATATAATTATTAAAGGTTGTAGACTTTACAATTAAATAGAGCCTTTATGCTAGATTACATATATCTTTTTACGAACCAAGAGGGGACATTATAAACATTTAAGGGATTATATGGTTTAATGTTTTCAGAGTCTTATAAATTTCATATTTACTGCGTTAGAAAAGGGTGAATAACACATTGCTTAATAATTCATCTTCTGCTCATAATGTGGCTCAAGAAGATGCATTAAATAAAAAGTATAAACCCAAACTGGCTCAGTGGATGATCCTGGTAAGTTATAGCAGGGGTGGCCAACCTGAAACATGTGCCAAAAGTGACACTGGCAGCCTCTGTATGAGGCACGTCACAGATCAGGCACAGAAGCAAATAGGGCAAGAAGCAGAAAGTGGAGCGGTTGATTGGGTAAGGAGCACAGGGTAGGGAGCAGCAGATTGGGCAGGGGAAGGGAGTCACAGTGGCAACCCTGGAGGGCCTAAGGCTTAATTTGTGGCATATCAGCTGAAAAGCTTGGCCCCTGGTGAGTTATAGATCGCAACTCCCAGGCCCAACATCTGTTATAACTTTGCCAGCCTCTGAACCCCCATAAGATCAAACCCTTAATATGACCTATTGTGCCATATTTATAAATCTTGACCTCAAGTATCATCCCTCAATTCTTTACGCAGAAAAGCACACATTTTGCAACTCAAAGTTTTTTAAGCACAGGGTTATAGATTCGGTATATTAATTTTGATTTTAAGGAGGTTAGAGAGACAGTTTGGCCCTTAAAACGTTTTGTATTAAATTCAGATTTAAAAAAAAAAAAAGACGTGTTGCAATTTAAATACCTTCCCCCGCACATTTATCAACCCAGGGCAAGCCGTTCTAATCCTGACATGTCTTTAATTATAATTTTATCCCAGGCTACCAATATGTAGATCACGCCCAGTATAAACTGTGCATCAGAAGTAGACGCTCTGTCATGGCAACCCCTAAATCAGTCTCTTTGGGACATGGAATATAGGACACAGTTCAATTTACAACCTACCAGCTAAGCAAGCAATCACACTTAAAAACTTTGTTTTTCAAATGAGACATGCCACTGCTTACAGAGCTGTTAGACTAACTGTATGAAGTCTCCATACACAGAACTTAAAAATGCCAATGCTAGCCTAAAGTTTTTTTGGCTGAATATACCAAGATTTGACTACAGTTTGCTCTGAATATTACCTACTTGCTCCAAGCTAAAGTAATATTTTTAATTCAAAGAAAATTGCGAACCAACAATATCCCACAAGCAGAGAATACATTTTTGTCATTAATTTTCAGCACTTTAACTGGCTTTGACCTATGCTGATAATTCATATAACATATGGATGCATAGCTCCAAATACAACATGTATCTGTGATTAGTAGTCAGGGTAGGCTTACATATTGAGGCAGAAGAGAACACGAGGTTTTTATAGCAGCTGTAACATTAGAAATATATACTGATAATGTGGGCCTTTATTCCTCAAACAGAGCCTTTTTTGCATGAAACATACCAATGACAGGTACATCACGGCACCTTCAAAAAGATGTTCACCAATAGGGCTTATGAGCCTGTACATTTAATAAGATGACACAAACATTGTCAATCATTAGGCAGTCCTTATCTTTGATTCTTATTCATTCTGCTCCAACATATGCCAAGATATCTGCACAAACACAGGATCAACGCAATATCACATTAACTGCTGAGGAAGACAAGTTGGCAGAGGGTGCCAGTTTCTGTGTCTGATCTCACTTTTTGCTTCTTCTTAAATGGCCTCTTGAAATTAATCCTAACAAGTTAGTAGCAATGCACTGTAGGAGAAAAGCTTATTAGAAAAGAGACAGAGCCCATCAAAAGGCATTTTAGCGACACTAAGTTTTTAAGTCTTTTTGGTGTCTTGGCCTGACTTCTCCAGTTATTTTCTAACCATCTTCATTTCTCACACATTTTCTTGTGAGGGATGCAATGCTCTCTTAAATGATTGTATACAAGCATTAGATACAAGTGCAGCATCAACAGCATTTTCAGAATCCACATTTTTTAAATAAAGACTGCCTATATAAAGCTCATTTTTCCTTGTATTGGTGCACCTCTAATAGGTACTGCTTTCATTGGTTCGATATTGGATCGGCACCAATATAAAGAAAAGTGTCGGTATCAAAAATTGGCCTGATATAGTCGATAATTTGGCTGATAAATTACGTGCAGTGCAGCATGTAGGCAGTGAGGAGCACAGCCCGGCAGCTTGAACAGCAGTATTCTGCTGGTAAGTCTGGTGTGGTGGAAAGGGAGGGGTGAGGGAAGGCGCTTTGGTGGGGGCAGGGAGCGCAGATCAAGGCCTCTGCAGCGAGGGAGGAGCGGGGCAGGGGCAAACGCTGCCCAGCCAGGGTGGCGTGGGTGCAGGATGGAGCCACGGCTCGTTTGGGGGCACGGGGGGCACCTCCCACAGCTGCGCACCGCTCATCCAGGAGCCACTCGTCTGGCGGCTCCTGCCACTGTTTCTGCTGCTTGCCTGGGAGGGCATGGAGGGGTGCCCCCTGATCTGCGTGGGGTGGGCTCTATCCCAGCAGGGGCTGGGCTGGGCTGCGCTCAGAGCGGGTGGCTGTGGCATTGGGAGGGGGCTATTGGGGGGGGGCTGCAGCCACCCCAAAATTCACAATAGCTCCCCCAGCTCCCCCTCCCAGCACAGCTCAGCCCAGCTGCCATCCAGCTGGGAAGACCTTGCCACAGTCCCGGCCCCAGCCTGTCCCATCCCATGCAGATCTAGGAGCACATGTTCCCCCGAACGAGCGGCAGAAGCAGCAGCTCCTGCAATGGAAGCAGCGGCAGCTCCTCCAGTGAAGCCAGCGGCTCCTGCAACGGGAGCAGCGGCAGAAACTGCCAGATAAACCGCTAGACGAGCAGGTCCTGGACAAGCCCCCCACCCTCTCTGGATGAACTGCAGATCTGTCCTGCGCCTACCCCACCCCGGTTGGGCAGCACTTGCCCTGGCCCTGGCCCAGGCCCACTCCTCCCTCACCGCAGGGGCCTTGATCTGCACCCCCCATACCCCTTCCCTTCCCTTTCCCTTTCCCCATAGTAGACTTACCAGCCGGACACTGTTTTTCAAGCTGCTGGGCTGGTATTGGAAATCAGATTGGTATCGGCTGATATGCCTCCTTAAAAATCGGCTACTGATATCGGCCCCAAAAATCTCTATCGGTTCACCCCTAGTACCTACGCAGCTACTATGCCACCTAAGTAGAATCAAAGCATTTTTATACCATGATGATGAATACAGTATAATAATGCAAACAGAAGAGAACCAAGAAATATCCATGCTTGTTGACAAACCATCAAAGGACACTGACACAGCTTCTTCCCCAAAAAAAGAACTCCTGAAGTACAGTCCCAAGTGCTGTCTGTTAGTATGTATTAACTACAAAGCAAAACAAAGCATTCTTACTTTCCTGTTTACAACGTTTTGTAATCAAGTATTTAAAATGTAAATCTCCCTGTCTGTCTGTTTTCAAATATGGAATACTATAAAAAAATCAGGTCTGCATTTTCCTTCCCTTAGCAAAGTTTTTGAAAAAATTAACCTTACAGCCAGATGTCACATTGCTTAAACTGCAGTTTCCCCCTGTATCTAAGAATAGAGAAGAGGCTGCTTCATACAGGGAGAGAAGTGGAAATGGCATTTTTACAGAAGCAAGCAAGCAGGAAAGGAGATGGAGTTTTCAAGCCCAGATAATCTTTATACACCATAGGGTGGTAAAGGAAAAAATGTGTTTACCTTGTAAATACTTGTTTTATAGTTACCTCCAAGAGAACATTTTTAGTCCTAAACTGGCTTGCTTTAAAAAAAGAGAGAGATTTAATGAAAACTCTTTATATTTACAATATCTTTCTAATGCTAAAATTTCTCAATAATTACGACTTTAAAAACGTGGCCATTATTATTTTAAAAGCTGATACATTTTAATGCAGTCTTTATTTCATCTCTTCCTTACAGACCTCCAGAGAATAAACCAAGAAACTTCTGCTCTATGGCCAAGGTAAACTGTTTTGTGATCTCTACTGCAGTTTCAAAACATCTGTTGAACTAGTTTTCTGGGAACTTGTTTTAAAATCACCATCAGATTTCTCTCCCCAAGGGAATTACCAGCAGAACTTTGCACCTAGGTCACTTGCAATACTAAGCTGCAAGATACTAACAAAAATAACCAGCTCCTGAGAACTTAACTCCCTACGCCTTAGGCACCACATACTCCTGTCATCACTTGTACAATCACCTTTATTTTTCTCAAGTCCTATGTTTTAGATTCAAGTAGAAAGTAGCAGGTGGACGGGCAGCTACCGCAGCTCTGACTTTGGCCAGAAGTTTAGGTCAGGGCCAGTCAGAGCCGCAGCAGCTGCCAGACCCCAACTCTGCCTCTACCCGCTTCTCCCTGCTCCTGCTTAATGTCAGGAGTGGTTCTGGCCACATTCTCTTCCAGGAATGGAGCACGTAGAAGCTCTGGCTCATCCTGGCCATGCGGTCAGTGCCAGCAGTGGCAGCTCTGGCCTGGGGTGCTGCCGTGTGGCCACACAAGAGCTGGAGTTTACACGTTGCTCCATGCCCTAGAGGAATGGAGCTGAAGTTGCAGGGGGAAGATTAGGCAGGCAGCAAGGGGGACAAGTGGTGGGGGTCCAAGGGGGCCACCTGCTCCCCTGCAGCAGCAGTGGCAGGGAAAAATGTAAGGTGGTCCTCTGATCATTAGTTTCTATACATGGGAAATTAAAACAAATTATAAATTTTCCATATATAGAATCTAATGGGGGGGGGGGGGGGGGGCGGTCATCCTAAATTCGAAGTCACCTAGGATTTAGGTAAATACAATAGTTGAAAGCCCTCTCCCGTCATTTCCAAGGGCCTTTGCTAAATACACCGACAAAAATACGAGCATATTTTGAACTTCCTTGCATAGTTACACAGCATCTTTTGGGGGGAATTTTAATAACGTGCACCTTATTTGGCAAAGGTAGCTGCTAACTGAACCACAGAAGGGGTTGGAAACTTCCCTAAAACACCAGTCCAACTGTTCAAGGCATTGGATATTCTGAGATACTAGCTCTCCTGGGCAGGCAGGACAGGAAAACTGATCACACAATTCCAAAGTCTAGAGAGATCCATTTTGCCCATAAACAGTATACAAGCAAGGTGCACAAAAATATTATTCTGGAATAACAGGTGGAGAAGTGGATCTACAACATAAAGGTGGGAAAAAAGGCCACCAGGTAGTGTTTCAATAAAAGCAGTACAATCATAGCCCAGATATGTGGGTTTTTTGGAAAATTTGGAATTGGAAAATTTTCCAATGCCCTAAATAGAGCCTGATCTGATTTAGCATGTTTATTAGTAAACAAAACTAAAAAAGTACCCCCATGTTAATTTTATGTCCCAAAAGTCACAAGTATTTGAACTGAAATATTTGATTAGGAAAAAAATTAAATACAGCACGCTTAATGTGGTTTAAATGTTATATTAAAAAAATTCAAAGCTCTATGTGGAAAGACATTATTTTTATTGGAATATTTGTAAAAACGTAAAGACAATACATAATAGCATGTACTTCCCTTGCATTGTTTGTTTAAATTTAAGGGAAAAAACCACAAAGGCACTGAAAGCTGTTGACACACTAATTTTAGGACACCCAAAGAACTGTGCATGATGTGCTGTACTTTGGTTTTGATTTGACTGGCATAGCCTATTAGGTGAATTCATAACTTGATTTTTGGTTTGGATTATTAGGTGAGTGTATTTACCCTCCTGTTTACAAATCAATAAAACATATGTACTCTCCCACACACTTCCTAGGGATAATCACCTGAAAAACATTAAATTACAACTTTGAAACTGCCAAGCTTGCCTAATATTGTATAACGGGGGCATGCTCGGGGCCAGGTCTCATGCCGGCCTGCCTACCTGTCTCTATGGGGCAGTCCGCCCAGTCTCGCCTGCCATGACTTTGCTGCTCCTATAAACTGGTGGTATAATGCAGGAGACTGCCTATTTCCTCACCCGATGCCGGGGGTGCTATCTGCAGCTCCGAACTGTCCCTACACCACAGCCCATGCCTCGTAGATGGCATCTCAGTTCTTAGTCTCTGGCCCCACATTGGGCCCTATAACCCTCCAGTCTGGACCCCAACTAGTTTCCTTCCCATCAGGCGGCCTCATTCTGGGCTGCCTGGTTCCCTGCACTCTTCCCCGTCTTGGGTGTGGCCCCCCCAGGACCTTTGGCCACACAGGCCCTGGCCTCACTTCCACAGCCAGTCGGAACCCCAGGCCCTCAGCTCTGGACGTCCCTCGCGGTGCCCCCTGCCCCTTTTGGCCCCAGCACTGACCAGTCGAGGGTGCCTCAAGTCAGGCTTCAGAGCAACTAGCCCACACTCTCCAACATGGGTCCACCGTCTCAGGCCCTGCTATGGGGTTACCCACCCGGCTGTGGGAGCTGGGGTTAAGGCGCCTGGACCCGCCTCTCACCAGGGTGGTAAGTGGCCTGGCATTTCCTGGGGGCTCCCACGTCACTAGGAGCCCCACCTAGCCACCCATCCCCGCCCAGGTACAGTTTTAGGTCATGCCTAGGACCAAGGGCCTCCTGCTCTTACCTTGAGAGGTCCCACACAGCTCAGCCAGGCCGTGTTTCTGCCAAACTGCAGCCTTTATAGACCTGGTGCTCAAAATGACTGCTGCCATGAGGCACCTGCTGGCTGCCTGACTCTGCCCCGAGGGTGGCAGGCACCCAGAGGTGCACTGGCCACGTATTGTATTAGCCTCCATTCATTGTTACTAGTGAATTTGATGAAACAATTAATTTTTAGAAGTGGAACATTTCCCACGGAAAAATAAAGCGGTGGAAAAATTTTTCCGCCCCACATTTCCGTCAAAGATGGCAGCTAGGATCGTGTGGAGGAGACCCGCGGCTATGAAACAGGAAAGCGCAAGGGAAGGCGTCTGATCTTCAGTGCCAGAGTAAAGACACTTGGCCTAAAAGGTCGCCTCTTCCAACACTGTGTTATTCAAGTGTGCCTCACGCTGAACTTCAGCCTTTACCAGAAAAAGAAAGGAACAAAGTAAACCTGTAACCTGCGGGCAAACACGGGCCTCCCCCGCGGGGCTGCGAACCGTGACCGCGGGGGGGGGGGAGGCGGACAAAGCTGCAGCTCGCGGGAGGCACTTCGGAAACGCGGCTCCGGCCGGACCTACACCCGCACCCGGAGCGGGGCCGCGACGTTTCCGCTCTCACCGGACACCGCTTCAGCCCCGGAGCCCGCGGGCGAGGAGGGGAGCGGAGGGGAGCGCGGCTCGCAGGCCCAGCCCCGCGGGACGAGCGCGCACGGAGGCTCCCGGCGTGGAGACCGAGACAAGGGACCGCGGGACGCCCGGCCGCAACAAA